AAAGGAATGAAAAAACATAACCCAGAAGGACCAAGCAAACACGAGAAAAGAAAGATTTTAACGGGTTTATAGAAGATGGAAATTGAAAGGAAGAGTGGTAATTGACTTAGCATAATGGAGGAAGTAACAATTTAAGGAACAAAAATCATAAATGTTAATGAAAAGCAAGTTAATTAGCCCTGAAGAACCCCTCAGAGGCTCAGTACTTATTGGCAGGAAGTCCACAAGATGGCATGAGACCTAGGGCCGAAAGTCTGTCTTTGAATCCTAATTCCCCTCTCCTGTCCCACGGATCCTCACCTTGAAAAACGAACAGACCAGCCAAGGATTTCAGATGTTGCAGGAAAACCCTACCATAAAACAAAGACGACCTGGAGAAAATGGGGTCAATGGAGGGAAAACTTTAAAATAATTGTTATTATACTCATAAAGATAAGAGTTTGCATCCATAAAAGAATAACAGCCATGTCTATGTGTGTATCTATATTATATAATATATATTATTTATAATATATAATGAGCTTCCTTAATAACTGATATATTTATACTAATTGTATATAATATCTAATCGTATCAAGTAAGAAGAAAGAGTTTGATATACATTATATATAAATAACATTGGTTAACAATAGAATGCTTTTGGAAATAAAAAAACACAGAAAGTAGAATAAAAAGCAAAGAGATGGAAAATAGAAGAAAAAAATTTTTAAAGAATCAGTTTAGGAGTTTCAATTAATATGAGATACAGAAAGAGAGAAGAGAGAAAATGGAGGAAAGGCATTTATCAAAGGAATAATACAAAAATGTGTCCTAGAACAGGACATGAGTCTCCATTGTGTCCCCAAAGAGTGAATGTAAACATGCATAAGGTATCTTATTGTGAAATGTCGGTGTCCCAGGCCTACAGAGAAGATCTAAAGAGCATCCATAATAACGAGGGGATGGGCATGGCAGTATGAAGTCCTCATCCACCATGGCGGGAAGTCAATATCTAAAATGAATTGAAAAGTAACCCTACAAGAACATGTTTAGAAATAAAGCTTTACATTTGAGTAACCAGCTAGAAGAGTCGCGGGCGGTTGCCTGGTGAACAGGACAGCGGGGCAGAGCGGGGAACCACTGTTATAAGCCTTTTAGCACCATGTCTTTTGAAAACTCTAGACTTGTATTACTTTGGAAAAAGGCTGTGTTAACAGAAACCTTTCTAGTTTCCCTGCTCCCTTTTGCCTACAAATCAACCTTAAATCTCCACAGCAGGCTCTTTAAAATCAGGCCTCACCCTGCCTTCTGTTCCCATTTGTCAACCTCTCTCCGCAGCCTCATACATCCTGCACGCCAATCACTCATTCCTTCAAGAGCCTGTATTGAGCACCTACTGTGAACTTTGTATATCCATCTTTCTATACTGTGGGGATAGAAAGATGGATAAGACACCTTCTCCATCCTCTCTGAAATATCTAATGGCAGAAACAGATGCATAAAAAATAAACACGCTTCAGTGAATTTGATGTGTAATTAAAAGTATGGGCAATGACCTATTCTATGGGAATCCAAAAGATAGAACAATGTGTTGCCCAAGTTTGTCCTTCACTCAAAGCTCCATGCCCTTGATAACGCTGGCTTGTGTGTTTGGATTTTTTGTATCCATACAGAAGGACGACATGAAACTTTCTCTTACTGGTCCTACCCTCTCCCTCCTCCCAGAAACGAAGGCTTTTTCTTCCTTGCTCCCCCAATCACTTTGCCCATTACACTCTGATTCTGTTTCACTCGGGAAGCATTGTAACATAATAATTAAGAACTCCAGCTCTGGATTCAAGAAGACTCTGGCACTTCCTAGATATGTGACAGGGCAGGCCGTATGTCCACTTAGCATCCAGTTGCTTCATTTCTTATACGAGACGGTGGAACCACTGATAGAATAGAGTTGTTCTGAGGATTATGTGAGATAATGCATTTTAAATGCTTGGAACATAGAATCTATTATGGTCATGTTGGTTTCCTCTATTGCATACATTCCTGAGGAGGACAGGGAGTGTGTTTGATCTGACTTTTTGTCACCAGCATCTGGCCCAGAGCTTGACACCTTCCAGGTACATGTTTGCTATGATGATGCAGGAAGAAAGAAAAGGTCTAAGCAGACTTAATGGAGACTATGGGACCTGAAGTGGGGTTAAAGGATGGATAACATCTAGCAAGGTGGTAGGAGTGGCTAGTGCAAAAGTGTATCATTGGGAATAAGTGTGTGGGAGCCAGTGAGGCGATCAGCCTGTCTGCAGAGGATGAGTGCTGGGTCAATGGGAGATAAGATCAGTAGAGGGATAAAGTTGTAAGCATGAACACAGGCTGAGGTGTTTACACCTGACATGGTAAAGAGGGACTCTATCTTACTCTTGGGCAAGAATAATATGACAATACCGATACCTGAGGAAGGTTAGTGTGTAAGTTAGCAAGATGCAAAACTGAATTCTTGGCCTGTTTCCTTCCCACATTCTCCACACTTAATGAGTCACCACACTTGGCATGGAGATAAGTGAGGAGCATGCATCTGAAAAGTTTTAGCAAGAGAAGAAAAAAAGAGAAGGGTCAATGGCTACCTGTAAAGAGCAGCAGTCAAGCAAAGATAAATTTGAAAGGGAGAGCAGATTTAAAACACAACACAATTTTTTAATTCAGCAAATATTTAGTGAAAAAAATACTTACTGGGCTGGCCCCGTGGCCGAGTGGTTAAGTTCGCGCCCTCCGCTGCAGGCGGCCCAGTGTTTCGTTGGTTCGAATCCCGGGCGCGGACATGGCACTGCTCGTCAGACCACGCTGAGGCAGCGTCCCACATACCACAACTAGAAGGACCCACAACAAAGAATATACAACTATGTACTGGGGGGCTTAGAGGAGAAAAAGGAAAAAAATAAAATCTTAAAAAAAAAAAATACTTACTGAGCATCTGTTACATGCAAAACACTGCTGAGTACTGTGGTGAATCCAGAGTCCCCTCTCTTCGAGTAGAGGGGATGAAACAGGTACACAAATCTCCTTGTGCAAGAAGGAACATAATACTGGGAGAGACACAGAGGAGAGAGATGACGAATGAAGAAGACAGCATTCTAGACCAGCATTTCTCAAACTTTTTGATCTCAGGACCCCTCTACACTCTTGAAAATTATTGAGGACTCCAAAAAGCTTTTGTTTATGTGCATTATGTCTATCGATACTTAGCATATTCAAAACTAAAACAAAATTTAAAAATATTTACCTATTTTTGGGGCCAGCCCAGTGGCTCAGTGGTTAAATGCACACGTTCTGCTTCTCAGTGGCCTGGGGTTTGCCGATTCGGATCTGGGGTGCAGACATGGCACCGCTTGGCAAGCCATGCTGTGGCAGGCATCCTACATATAAAGTAGAGGAAGATGGGCACGGATGTTAGCTCAGGGCCAATCTTCCTCAGCAAAAAGAGGAGGATTGGCAGTAGTTAGCTCAGGGCTAAAAACAAAAAAATTTGCCTATTTTTAAGTAACAATATTAAACCCATCTCATGTTAACGTAAATAACATATTTTATGAAAAATATATTTTCTGAAACAAAGTAAGAAGAGTTGCTCTGTTTTACATATATGCAAATCTCCTTAATGTCTAGCATATGGAAGATAGCTGGGTTCTCATAGGTACCTCTGCATTCAATCATGTTGTTTTGGTTTAAGTATTTGAAGAAAATCTGGCCTCACACAGATATGGAGCAGGAAAAGGGAGGAATTCGCAGACTCCTTGAATGGGTCTTGGGCACCCCCCAGGGTCCTAGGTCCACATTTTCAGAATCGTTTTTCTAGAAGGTGATCAGTTCTTTACCCCTCTAGTTAAGATCCATTTGTTAGGTAACTACCACCATTCCGAACACCAGTGGGAGCTAATAGAAAGGAAGTGGAAAACTTGTTGGTTATTTAAAAAAATAATACCCCTCCTTTTTTGTTTTTTAAAGATTTTATTTTTTCCTTTTTCTCCCCAAAGCCCCCCGGTACATAGTTGTATATTCTTAGTTGTGGGTCCTTCCAGTTGTGGCATGTGGGATGCCGCCTCAGCGTGGCTGGATGAGTGGCGCCATGTCCGCGCCCAGGATCCGAACTGATGAAACACTGGGCTGCCTGCAGCGGAGCGCGCTAACTTAACCACTCAGCCACGGGGCCGGCCCCCAATACCCCTCCTTTTTAAAAAAATAGGTAATGCAAGCACATAGTTCAAAAAGTATACATGAAAAGAAAATCACCCTTCTACCCCCGTCCCTCAACGACCCAGATTCCTACACAGGAGGCAACCAGCATAACCAGTTTTTTGTTTTTCCTGCCAGAAGTATTCTATGCCTATATCAGCACATGGTCTACAACAGCCACTTAACAATATACCTTAGAGATTTGTTCATATACACATACAAAACATACATTATTTAATAATGCTGCTTATTGTACATATAGCATAATTATTTAATTTTCTGTTATTGCAAACAATGCTGTAAAAATCCTTGTTCATGCATCTTTATGCAATACACAAGTATACCTTCTGTATAAATTATTAGAAACAGAATTGTTGGGTCAAAGGAAGGTGCATTTTACCTTTTGATAGCTTTTGCCAAACTCGACCTCCATAAAATATCTATTTCTCCAACCCTATACAGCGCACTGTATTATAAAATTATTTTAGCTTTGTCATCAGATAAATGAACAAGTGCTATTGCATTATAGTTTTGGTTTGCATTTCTATTGTTATTAGTGTTTTTCCATTTCAATGATTTATTTCTTGCTCATTTCTCTATTGGATCATTGGTTTTACTGATTTGTAGAAACATTTTATATCAGAAGGCAATGCTGGAAATGTGAGATTCTGGCAAGCTTGAAGATATAGTATGAAGACACCAGGCAAATATGGGACAGGGTGTGCACATAAGGAAAAAGACACTGAAGGCAGGTGAAAGGACGTAGCAGACGAGCTTTTGCTGTTTCACATGTTTTATAGGCTCGTGTTCCCTGGGCGTTACTGACCGGTGCAGTGATCTCCAAGATGGAGCTTGCAAGGTGACTCACTGAAGTTCAGCACGAAAATATTAGAACTTGTATTTAAATTTCTTTTTAATCTAAAAACAGAAAATTAACTTTTATTAATATTTAACATGTGGAATACCACTTGCATCTTTACTCAGTCTGAAGGTCAGATGGTCAGATAAGGTGGTGGCTATTTAGGAACAAGAGCAGGAGTTCAGTTTGTGTCACCCTTAAGTGTTTGCTCCATTTTAGCACATTGTGACACACTGTACAAGGGTAAAATAAAAGATTTACCAATTATGTCTAGTTTTAACTAAACTAACCTCACAAAATGGGTGTCGGTGCCCTGCCAAGATCCTCCTTACTGGTCATTGCACCCATTCCCCTTAAGCTGTGTGCTTTGGCTGCTAACAGCTTGTAGCTGTACCCTTCTGCTTGAGAGAATTGCCCTTCAGCCATGGGGGCTACCTAATCAGGGAGGCTGTACCCTACCACCACCCTCGCACCCCACCCCAGGCGGCCTGTAGCCAATCATTGCGTGATAATGGGAACCGAAAGGCTTGCCTCCTTTCCTGGACGTGAGACAGCGCCGTGGTGCCAGCCAGGCTCCAGAGCTCCTTGTGGGATCAGATGGAGGATAACCGTCAGCCGAACCCACGTCTCTGCTAGCCCCTTCCCCTATCCTGTTGTTTCCCTCATTCCCTTTCAGGTTTCCTCTGAGATCACTCGCTCAAAAAGCACTGGCACAAGAAACCTCCTCTAAGACTCTGCCTCTCGAGAACCTGGCCTAAGACAATGAGCATATGATTTTAAAACGGTCATGCAGAGAAGACAAGAATTGAAAAGATTAATAATAAAGACAAAAGCAACAACAAAAGGGCAAAACTAGATTTTTTTCCTACTTCTAGTGCAATCTCTTCTTAGCCAAAATAGGTGATAAAAAATGACAGTTTAATGAGATCTAACAAAAAAGTCAGCTAAAAGAACTAGAAACTGTAAAGAAGACTATTTGAAATATAGATTTCTGTCCGCTTTTCTAACAAATAAATCTTGCCTTAGTGACTATAATGGTTTCAGATATCAGCTAATGATAACATAAAGACACTATCAGCAAGATGTTTAAAATCTATGCATCTAGAATATGAAGCTGAATTTCAACAGTGTTTTCACTGATATCATGCAACACTTTATACAATTTCACTAAATTAAGTGATAAATGTTTAGAATTCTAAGATTTCTTCTGAGGTTTCTTGCTTAACAGTGAAAGATAAAACAAAACAAAAATAGCAACAACTGAAAAGAAACCAGCTCATACGCCACTGGGGAAATATTTCTTCCCTGTCACAGTTAAAATAGCTAAAATAACTTGAAGAATTTTTAAAAAGAGACAAAATCACATTCTTTAGGTAACATACACTGAAGGGAATATGCATAGAAAATATTGTGGAAAGTTGAAGAAACAAGGATTAGAACAAATTGTGAAGTGCGGGAGGTTCATATTCATTTGAATGAAAGTATAAGTGTTTCTAATATGTCTCAGCTCATGGTATTTGTTAAATTCTGGGTCAATAATAAAACATAGGAAAAACGATTTTTCTTAAGTTATTAAAAGTATCCCAGAGAGGTTATGTTTTCATTATGTTTATAAATGACTTCTTTAATAAAAACAATTTTTCATGGGAAAACAAAATTGATTCGTTTTAGTGGAGCAACTGATTTCAATAGAATAAATGAATTTTCTGGAATATGGTTACAGTGCTAATAATACATGTCAAATCATATCACTGGATTCTTCATCGGCAAGTTATAATAACAAGAAGGTTGGGGCCAAACTGTTCAAACTTCTACAGGTTATCATCAACCTAGTTATTTTAATAAAAACAAGACTTTAAAATGTTAGTGTCAACACTTTACAGTACTTTTTAATTATCTGTAGAATGGACATAAAGTTTTTTCATACAACAAAGATAGGTTCACTGATATTTTGTGGCAAAATACTTAAAAGAGCTGCCAAAGTGAAAATGAGCTACACATTTTCATTTTACAAAAAGGAAAGTGTTTCAAATTTTCTGTCCTTTCCTGTACTGACAAATGGCTCTCTGTAAAATGCAGTGTTGGCAGATATTTTGGGGAACAGAAAAAAGGAACTCTTTATCTTTTCCTTCAAGATAACAGTGACCTTTTAACAATGTGTGGAAAAGTAATTGCTTTTCAAAAGCAAGTACAATTTGGGGCCAGCACGGGGCCAGCACGGGGTGTAGTGGTCAAGTTGGTGTGCTCTGCTTTGGCGGACTAGAGTTCTCTGCTTCAGATCTTGGCCGGGGACCTACACACCGCTCATCAAGCCATGCTGTGGTGGCATCCCACATAGAAGAACTAGAAGGACTTACAACTATAATATACAACTATGCACTGGGGCTTTGGGGAGAAAACAAAAAACAAAAAAAGAATATTGGCAAGAGATGTTAGCTTAGGGCCAATCTTCGTCACCAAAAAAAAAGGCAAGAATAATTTGAAAACACTTTTGGAAATGTTTCTATCATTCTGTGATTTTATTGCTGAAAATGACATAAGTTTGTCACCTATAAAAATTCAAGTGTGCCGAAATTTGGAAACAGAATTGTCAAACTTGTTTGAAAATTTTCCAAATGAAGAGTTACAGTGGATTTTTAATCCATTTGTTAGATATAAAAATGCAACGTCTTCTGATTGACATTAGGGAAGATGGATATTTCTAATGGATCAACAAAAATCTTTCCATGATTAGGATATAAGACAGAACAAGTGAGTATCCTGATGTTGCACTACTTCCCTTTGAATCTTAGTACCTTTATGAGGTATATTTTTCATTTTGCTTGACTGATATTTTGCTATAAATCAATAGACTTTAAAGTGTAGATGATATTAAACTTCACAACTCACTACCGATTAGTTTAGGACTTCTTTATCAAGGACAGTGAAAGTTGGTAATGTTACTTCCTGATTTCGCAAAACTCCAGCATATCGTTTGAATAGCTGCAAAGAAATAGAGAAGTTCTTTTTCTGGAAAAAACAACTATTGTTCCACTCTTCTGTGGTTACATATATCACTAAATTTTCAAAATATAAATGTTATTTTGATTCTAGTGAGAGCATTCTATTCATAAGATAAAAATATTGAGACAAGTAGTCTAGAAATACCATGTACAGAAATAGAACAAAATCTTTTTAAGAAATGTCAACTTGTATCACCAGAATTTGTATTGAATGCTTATTTAAAACATTTATTTAGGTGCTGGCCCCATGGCCGAGTGGTTAAGTTCGCGCTCTGTTTCGGTGGCCCAGGGTTTTTTTGGTTCAGATCCTGGGCGCGGACATGGCACCTCTCATCTGGCCATGCTGAGGTGGCGTCCCACATAGCTCAACCAGAGGCACTCACAACTAGAGTACACAACTATGGACTGGGGGCCTTGGGGGAGAAGAAGAAGGAAAAATAACCATTTATGTATTGAGAACCTTGAAAAAGTTAGCATATGTAGGTTAAGGTCTCACCAACATTACTAACGATGCATTGGTAGATAGATAATATTGGAAATTACCATCAAAGCATTAGTCACGGTAGAGAGGAATGCCTGCGTAAGTCTGGCAACAAAGATTAATTTCCAATCTGGTAATAATATATATCAGCCTTTTATAGTTTGCACTGGTAGTTAATTATTAACAGTTGGGAAGTCTTCATCCTCTTGTTATTGATTTGTTTTAGACCTGGAAAAACATTCCTCTCCTCCGCTCAGTTCTTAATCAGGTGAGATACTTTCCTGGAGTCTTAGGCTCCAATAGCGTGGAGAGGTGTGTGTTTCTTCGCAGCTGTTCCATACTTTTGCAGTTATTCTGGTACTGATTTGGGGGGGGGAGGGGTTCCTTCAATAGAAATGTTTTTAAAGTGAAGTATTTCAAATGGAGGACTTTAAAGATGGCTTGCCTAGCAGAAAATCAAATGCCGATTTGAAGATCTGCCTAATTTCAGTTTGTTCAACCTGCTCTAGAAGAAACTGGGTTTATTGAGTGCACGTCATTGAATGCACTAGATGCAGTTTTATATGAACTTTTGAAAACGTTCTTTCTCTCTCTTTTCTTTCAAGACAAACTATGATTTATGAGGATTGTTATTTTTGAGGCAAGAGAAATTATTGTCTTATATTGACAGTTTTTCAATAAAACACTGTCAATTTAAATGTTGATAAATTTTAGGAGGTCCTTAGGAACGCAGTAGTTTATGCTATTGGTGATTGTTAATAAACATCAGCGATCTGTGATTTTACATTGCAGTAATTGAAATGTGGATTTAAAAAAGAAAGAGAATAATAATGTACCTGCATTTGATTGGTAGCAATGAATTTAAAACAATTTGAATTTTTTTCCAGTTTTATTGAGAAATCATTGACACACATCACTGTATAGGTTTAAGGCATACAACGTGATGGCTTGATTTACATATATTGTGAAATGATTACCACAATAAGTTCAGCTAACATCCATCTTCTCACATAGATACAACAAAAGGAAAAGAAAGAAGAAAAGAAAAAAGCAAAAAATTTTCTCCTTGTGATGAGAACTCTTAGGATTTATTCTCTTAACAACTTTCCTGTGTATCATATAGCAGTGTCAGCTATGGTCCCCATGGTGTACATTACAGCTCTAGTACTTATTTATCTTATAACTGCAAGGTTGTACCCTCTGACGATCTTCCTTCAATTCCACCTCGCCTCATCCTCCACCTCAGGTAACCACAAGTCTGATCTCTTTCTATAAGTTTTTGTTTTATTTTTTTAATTTAGATTCCACATATAAGTGAGATTGTAAGAAAAATTTTAAATGAATTGTAAATATGTTGAAGACCTGAATTGAAAACAATCGTAAACACTATTGACCATTGCAAGGTTACGTGATAATTCTAAAGCACAGATCTAGAGGCTCAATATAGTTACAAGACAAATTAAGGACAGAGTTCAGAAGGAGAAGCAAAGATGTGACTCTTAAGGTTGTTGTTAAAAATGCTTTGCAATTGATGGTGCAGATAACCATTAAACCCATGTTATCATTTTTGTTATAAATAAAATGATTACTAAAGGGCATTTTCAATTTTTTATTTTAAAAAAACCAAAAATAAATGTTCTTGGCCAGTTTTACAAACATGAATCACACAATTATTGATCTGAATGGTGGGGTTCTGCTTTGGCCTTCTTCCCTGGCACACATAGAGTTGGCAAGTGGGAGGCTGTCACTTCCAACCTTGTGTGCATCGCACAGATTGACCAGTAGCCAGGACCAAACCACAGTCAGCAGAGAAAGTGAGGGAGGGCCTTGCGTCGTGAGCACAGGTTCAGCAGAGTCAACTCTATGACATGTAAATGCTGGCTAGATAATCTATTTTCGGACACCGTGTTGATATTATATGAGGATCCAGATTTTAATTACTTTAGGTAAAGACCTTAAATAATTACAAGGCTGACAGGGAGAACTCGGCAAGAGAATCATGCTTTCTAGATGAAGAGATCTTTTTAAATGATCTGATTATTTTGAAATGTATAATATGTATGTAATAGAGTAATGTAATGGATGTACAAATAAAATGTGGTAAAAACGGGAAGAATTTTTGCAGAGCACATGTTACAAATGGATGGTGAGCCAAAAATTCAACAAAGCAGTATGTTCCTTAGACAAATGTGTCAGAAATTACTGCATGCAGTTTCGATGTCTTACCAATTGGCTCTGGGGCCTGATATTTCGGAGTTCAAGCCAGGGAGGGTTAGAGAGAGGAGTTCTCTCACTTAGGGGGATTGCTGGCCCCCAACATGAGTAATCATCTTTCCTCCAGCTCAGAGCCTTCTTAATAGACCACAGCTGGCCAACAGACCACACTACCCTGAAAAGACTTTTAGTTGCTCTAACCCCCAGAAAGGGTCCGGCAGTACAGAATCTAGGTCAGGCAGACTAAGTGTATCAGTAACTTAATAACTATGTTGCTTATTTAATGAGAAAGTGCCAATCTAATATAGTAACTCCAGTGTGCCTTCGAATCTCCTGGTGGGCTTGTAAAACAAATTGCTGGGTCCCAACCCCCGGGGATTTGACTCAGTAAGTCTGAGCTGGGACCCGGGAATATGCGTGTCTCACAAGTTCCCAGGTGGTGCTGATGCTGCTCGTCAGGGGACCTGAAAGTCACTGTGGAGGTAGTTTAGCTCATCCCCTTGGCATGGTTCCCTGATGTTTTCTCTCGGTTTGACAAATGTGAGATAAAAGCTAGACTAATGGTACTAAAATTTATTGCTTAAGATCAAGTGCTACAAAGTCATTTGATGGATATTGTTAGCTTTAAGTTTTACATTCTTCATGATTCAGATGCAGCCTAATCTTAGATTTAATGTAGATTTTGAAAAACTGTATACCAACAAGGGCCAGCCTGGTGGCACAGTGGTTAAGTTTGCACATTTGGCTTGGGCTGCCTGGGGTTCACTGGTTTGGATCCCGGGTGCGGACCTACGCACTGCTTATCAAGCCATGCTGTGGCAGGCGTCCCACATATAAAGTAGAGGAAGATGGGCACAGATGTTACCTCCGGGCCAGTCTTCCTCAACAAAAAGAGGAGGATTGGCAGCAGATGTTAGCTCAGGGCTAACCTTCCTCAAAAAGAAAAAAAGAACCAAAAAACTGTATACAACAAAATCAGTTCTAGCATGTAGTATCTAGCAATTTCACAAATCTATAAACCTCAGAAATGTACTTACTGCCTCATTCTCCAATTTCTTCTTTTCCCCCTTCACTCATTATAATTTGGCTAGTGCACTAGTACATGTACTATTGAAATTGTTTTCTTAAAGGTAAACAAGAAGCCCATCATGAATCTTTCTACTACCATTTGACACTGTTGATCTCTTTTTTTTCCTGGGAACTCTCTCCTCCCTTTCAGTCTTGATTTTAGTCTCTCCTCCCTTTCATTGGCTCCTTACCTTCCACCTCCTCTCCCCTTTGCCCTTGGCAGGCATCATTAATTGATCATAGCACTCCTGTGGACAAAATTTGAATAATTCTTCATGACACAGCCCTTCAGGAAAACACTCTTAGTTGATTGGCATCTGTTGTTGAGATGAAACATGTATTGCGAAGTCTCAACTCTCTCCAAAAGTAATCGTGTCTGCTTCCATGACTTTAGTTTTCACTGGATCAAGCCTGGCCTGAAGCCCACTATTTCTGGACATTCAGTTAAATGAGGCAATTAATTCAAAAGTTCTGTAATAGCCAAAGGAACATATTCTCCAATTGAATTAAGGTGGTTAGGTACAGTATATAGTCCTCAAAAGGAATAAAACATTGTCTTATTTTAGCAAAAAACTTAGAGGAATT